GGATGCATTAGAAATTAAAAATAAACACAAAAACGATCAAACACACAACTTCAACACTGCAAAATATGATTTGGGACAAAAGTTGATGTCTCTAAAAGACACGAGATTGCAGGAAATCAATATCAGGGAATACTTGAAGTATTTGAAACAGTTGTATATTGAGGAATAATCGACTTCTTTTGTTTTTGTATTGACACATTAACTCCCCTATAAAAATTAGTTAGTAATTTGTGTTTTTTTATTCAAATAAAAATAAGATAATTTTTTGATCTGATACAAAATTTAATTTATTTTTCGTATAAATTAATAGTTTAAAAAATATTCGAAAAAAAACAAAAAATTCAAACGAATTCATTGTAGTCATTATGTCGTTCCATTTTGTCATTGTACAAGGATTTATAGCAGTGATATTTTTTGTGACATGTATGTCGGTTCTCTTCCATTGCACAACAAGACTTGGATACGAGGATAGTCTATCGTCTTCTGTTAAGTACCGGAATAGGTATCTCGACACAAATAAATTTAATTACACTGGGGAGTGTGGCGATGTTTTGAACTTCAGTTCCAGCAATGAACGAGACTTTGTCATTGGTTCTCACGACATGTTTGAGAAGTGTTTTAAACCACAAACGTGGGAAGTGTTAAAGATGGCTCGGAGGTCGATGCCAAAAGCGCGCATTGTGACAATTTTATATAACTTTGTGCCACACAACTGCCCAATTGACATCAGAAATTTTGAATTTTACAACATCGAGTACGTGAATGCAACAAAAAAAGACACTGAAAATGCCGTTGCGATGAGGTACATTTCGTACAACAAATACATATCAAAACATATTGAAATTATGGATCGTGTTGTTCTGGTCGATTTGATGGATGTTTTGTTCTTCACAGACTTTTTCAAAACGTTTGGCGTTGACAACATTGGGTGGATGAAAGAGTGCTTGAGCTTCAAGAACGAGTCGGTGTGTTACGGGCCAAGTTCATTCCCGCCACATGGCGACTGGATTGAAAAGTTCTTTACTAAGGGTATTAGAAAACAGTTTGAAGACAACAAATGGCCAGCTTTGAATGGAGGGTTTGGGTATGGGGGTGCTCTTAAAATGAAAAGAATGATGGATTTGTATGTTCAACACATGGACTTGCAACACATGGAATGGGGGTATGATCAAGCTCTTCTCAATGTACTTTACTATAATGGAACCTTTAAAGAACTGGGGTTGGAGACCGTTGGGTGTCAACAAAAACTGTGTTATCAAGGAAAGTTTGATTATAAGGTCAAAAACAGAGTCATTTACTTTGCAAATACCAAATGTTCGCCTATTGCGGCCCACAAACTGAGAGTGAAAGCTTTGGGATGGAAAGTGGGATAATTAGTGTTATAAAAAGGAGATGTAATTGACAAGTGTTATGTTTCGTAACTTATGTGGATAGTTAATAAACCTTTTTGTTTATTGTGTTATTTTACCCACAAAAAAATAAATCAATCAGGTTTTTTCACACTAAAAACTACACAAAAATTTATTTATTTCAATTTTATAAAAATTTAAATAAATTAGTTTTGAAACCATAAATCAAACTAGTTTTATCTTAAAAAACTGATCAAAGTTAACATCAGAACGGACACTTTTAGTCCACCCGATTTTACAAGTCTAAACGATTCTGAAATTATTTGCATTTGTTGTATTCAAGGAAGCTATTTGAAGTGATAGCGATGTCTCCAAAAACGTTGATACTTCAAATAAAGGGACTTGTTTTGTTCTTTATGTCGCTTTAGGCTTATACTTTTTCGTTGTTAGAGCTAATCATATATCAACACGTTAAACCCAGACTGTGAACTGTTCTTTTTCGCACCAAACTCAGGTTCTTCAATTTTCATGCCGAAAAAGAATCTTTCTAAATCAATACCATCAACGCGCATCAATTTGTAAATTGGCTTTTGCGGCGTCAAAACGTCCATCAATCATTGTCGTGGGCTGTCTTATACATTTATTTTGAGGCTTTTCATCTTATTGACCAAGTCGTTTGAGTCTTAATCAATTTATTTAAGTAGCTTGCTTACCAACTTTGCCTCAAGCAACAATTTTACATCCTTTCTTTTGTGTTTTTGTTTTTGTATTTCTGTCAAGTCTTGAAGTATTTTATGTAATATTGCTTCCAAAAAAACCACAAATAATTTTCAAACAAAACAATTAAATTTAACCCACGGTAATTTATATTATATTAAAAAATATAGTAAATTTCAAACATTTTCACAATCAAAAACCTTCAGCTGAAAAAACTTTTAAAACAAAGAGTACACGAGGAGTATGAAAATGCACTGCATCAATAATACAAAAGTTATAAAGAGAGATATATAATTACTTTTGGAAAGAATTTAAGTACAGTTGAAATTGACAACATTTAGATAAAAAACGTCTAAAGATCGAAGCGGAGAAAGGTTAATTAACAACGTAAATTAGAATCGTGAGAATCGATTATTGTTGACTGTTGTAGATTTACAAAAAGAATCCAAGTTTTTGTAAAAAAAAGTTATTCAATTGGGTGCAGGTGTTGGGATAAGTTTACTAAATGTATGTCTGTTATACTCGTTAAAGAAAAGCGTTATTTCATTAAATTGAAAGCAACAATTTTAAAACCTTTTGTTTTTAATTGAAAAATATACCAAAGCTTAAAAGTGGTATTATTTATTGACTAAAGAGCACCAGAAAACTGTCGTACATCAGAAAATAGTCGTACACATTGTTTTAAGGTTTTTTTCTGTATAAAGTCGGGTTTTTATTTTTTCAAAACCCAATTTTTTTCCTGATTGTTTAGTCAAATTTTATATGTGAAAAAATATACCCGATTTTTTGGTTTGTTTGATACTAAAAACACAAGTGTACGACAATTTTCTTGCTGTACGACTATTTTCTGTTGGTCTTTAGTTTATTTATTTAATTAGCTGAACATTTGAAAAAACATAAAATAAGACTATAATAAAGTACATTTTTATCACCGTGTTTAAGGTTTTCTATACACTCACTATACTTATTATTAATCAATTGTGTTATTATTTAAGTCGTTTTTAAGTGTATGACTTTCACTATATTATATTTATCGTGAAAGTTTAATTGAATAACATATCATTAAACACAAAATAAATGTTATTTGTTTTTATGAAATAATGTTTTATCAATCACACCCTTAACTTATATTGGTTAATACTATAATTATAAAATTTATATTAAACGATTTTAAATGTAATTCATTTAACATATTCAACATTTTTATTAAATTGTCAAATCTGAACATCAAAAGAATTAATTGAATACTTTTATTCGTACATAAAATTGTTTATTTTTTCCTTAAACAATTAAAAGGAAAAAATTGATTTAATAAAATTTGAAAACTTTTATTTGTTATAACAGGTATACAAATTTAAAAAAGTTTTTATCAAAATAAGGTTGTGAATTAACATTGAGTTTTAGAACAAACAATCGAATTGTTGTTTCTTTTTGTAATTTGTTTAATCCTTACAGTCGAATTAGGTCTACTTGTGATAGTATTTTTTATGAAAGTGATATGATTTTTATAAAA